ATAGTGAAGTTGCCTTGACCAGATAACTGACAGTAGACATCAAGCACTGTATGATCTTTAATAAAGTCTAACAATGAATCTTTGTGTTAATTCAATAAGAGATTGACAAAAATGTTCATGCAGATCAATAGATGGATATTGTATGCTTCTCTATATTGGTAGCATAGAAATAGAAATGCAAATATTATTATAATAAAATATTATAGAAAATGAAGACTAGAAAACACTATATAAAATAAAACCCGTTTTTGTAAACATAAAATTGTATGAATAAAATACCATTTTAGAAAGATAAAAATAGCTAACAGAAAGGTAAAGCACTTTGACTTTATCCTTTGTTTTCATGTCTGCATTATGTAGATTCCCTTCATGAAGGAGAATTAATTTTATAAGCAGCAAACCAAAAAGGAATACCCACTGGGGAGAAAAACTACTCTTCACATCCCACGCTATGACCTAACAGGGGAAACATAAATCTGGTAGGGAAGGGCCAGCAACAGGTCTTTCCACATCTCCTTCTGGGACAAATTTCATAGGGCATCCAGCCCGATGTTCTTCCTAAGGGCAGAGTTTCCTCCTAGAACCATCTGCTCGAGGACGCCTGGTCCCAGGTCTCATGAAGGAGCATCTCTAGAGGTGGAGCTGAGATCTGCATCTTTAACAAGCTCCCAGGTGATTCTGCTGAACATTAAAGTTGAGGGACCACTGCCCTAGGGCATGTGTCTTGGAGGAGAAAGGAGTAAACTGAGCAATTACTACATGTTTAATGCACTTCTCTAACCTAGAGCTGGCATCCTGTCCCTTTGGGTCCTTTCCCTAGTGGGTAGACCGGAGTCTTCACATCTCCATTTGTGAAGCAGGTGAACTGAGGAGAGTAAGCCCCAGGCTCATGGCTTTTCTCTCTGATGACAGTGAGAGGTTTAGGACCACAGAATTGTCGGCTAAATCTGGTGTCTGAGTGTCTACCGAGAAGCTCAGAAACCAGTCGTTACTTCCAGAGACTACATGACTTTAGCATCAAGTTCAGAGGAGAACTAGATATCCTTCATCGGGAGAAGATAAGTGGGGTGATGTGTATGTGTGTGTACACACAGTGCTCATCCCTTCTCTTTACTAGTTCCTAAAGACAGGGGCACCGCGATCACCACTGGCCACTGACTCTCACACCTTGAACCCCGCGCCTCAGGAAGATGAAAAATAAGCCAGCTGGCTGCTCGCTGATGTCCTGCCTGGAATCCCTAGGATAGTCCCATAACCTCATCAAAGGCCTCAGCCTTGGACCCAGGAAACATTTACTAACTCAATTATGTTTGCCTGAGCTCCCCTGAAGACAAGACACTGCATTTCTTCACTAGAGATCTTTGCATTTTGTAATGAATGGAAGCAGTGTCACATCAGATAGGACATCTCCTAGGCTCAACAGTTGTTGATTGTGCTTTTTTCATTTTGCTTTCATCACCAGCAGACACAAGTGCAGGATGAGGCCTGAGAACCAGAGTGGCGTGTCCCAGTTCTTCCTGCGAGGGCTCCCCATCTGGCCCGAGCAGCAGGGCGCGTTCTTCGCCTTGTTCCTGGGCATGTATCTGACCACAGTGCTGGGGAACCTGCTTCTCATCCTGCTCATCAGGCTAGACGCTTGCCTGCACACACCCATGTACTTCTTCCTCAGCCACTTGGCCTTCTCTGACATCTCTTTCTCATCTGTCACCGTCCCTAAGATGCTCACAGACATGCAGACTCAGGACCATGCCATCCCCTACGCAGGGTGTGTAACACAGATGTATTTTTTCATGGTTTTTGCTGCTTTGGACAATTTCCTTCTCACCTCAATGGCATATGATCGGTACGTGGCCATCTGTCA